ATCTAATTTCATGCATTTAGGCCTAAATTAAACCATTCCTAAGATCATATAAAACATGAACTCCAGATATTATAACCATAATAAGTCAACAAAAATATCCTGTTTATATCATGCCACTGATTCGGGGATGTTAGCTTATCGGTGGGTTTTTATGAGCCAAAATAACAACATCGAGAAGAAAGACGAAATAAAACCGGGCCCGATGTCTGACCCTTGGAAACGTGTTTGGTCCGCAGAGCTCGGTACCCGGGCCCACATCATCACATGGGGTCCATTACCGGGGGCTCGAGGAGGTGGCCTCTTGGTAAATGGGATGCTCCTCAAAGAGTCCGTGAGATCCTTGCAGAAACTCAGGGACGGGTGCTTTCATCTGCACAACCGGACCTCTCATCTGCGTCGGGGGACAGTTAACTGTTCATGGGTTCATGGCGGGTCGTTTTAACTGGAGGAAAAAATATATGGTTAGGCTACTATAACTATTTTATTTCATTTATTGGAATATATTACTCATCAAGTAACCTATACATGCGATGGATAACAGTGTTTTGTGGTTGAATGATTCCTGTAAAGAAAGGAATGGTTGAGGACGTCGTTGAAGGTTCTATTCTGGACTCAATCGGAGGTCGGATGTTTATTTGGCTTTAATAGTTGCTTATAACAGTGTGGATTGTAACCATGGGAGTCCCACATTAAAGCATCGTGACATCATCATCTCCGACAGATAGAAGTCCTCTTAAGGTGTAGGCCTAGTGCACCCCGCTGTCCTGAACGTGTCTTGGAGGGGACCGAATAATGATGGTGTTCCATAGTTGGAGACGGATGTGGTGCTGGTGGAAGTGTCGCTCCCCAGGGGATGGATGTGTTGAGGCTCCGAGGCGGAACGGCCCGTATGGAGGCCACTGCTCCCCCCCGCCGCACAGTCAGGGCGGGCCCGGTGAGCAAAACAGGGGGACACATCGCTCTCTCCCTGCTGCTTAAGTTTCACGCACAAGCACACGCACACAATTGGTTGCGCAACTTTGTGTGTGTAGTGTGTAGCAATGGGTGTGTGTTTGTGTGATTCTAAGAAAACAGCCCCCCCCCGCGCCCCCTCTTTTAGAGAGCGCGCTGCACAGGCGCAGAGCGCATCTCGGGGCCGGAGAGCTAAAAGGCACTAAGGCAGCAGAGGCACACGACGCGCGGACACTTCCCCGTGGACAGCCTCCAGACTCCCGCAGAGTGGGAAGAGGAGCCCCCCCGCTGTTAGCCGGCGGAGGAAGGATGATAGCGGGCTGCATGAGGTACAGTACACCCGTCTGCTGTCTGTCTGCCGGCGGCATCACTGGACGAGGGGGTGGGAATGAAGCCAGAACGTCATCCCGGTGAGATGACAGATAATTAGACTACGAAAGTCAACGAGAACGTTTGATGTGGAAGATCTGAATGTGGCAATTATGGGCAGGAAGCGGTGTGTGAGAAATAGAAGTAGTGTTTGTGGGTGTACATTTATTATTGCGGTGTGTTCTCTTTTGTTAAACATTATATGTCTGGATTATTCTTTTTTTTCTTTTTAATAAAAAATAGATTATTCCCATTTACAAACTATATATTTATTTACATTAATATGTGATAACAGCATTTTATTTTCACCACGTCATTATTATTATTCGCAGAATAGTATTGGTTGTCAATTTATTAAATATGAAATTATTTACAATTATTTATTTTGTATTAACAAAAGCCATTTGAATCAAATATTACAAATATAATTTTTTGGTGCAGAGGATGTTACTGTAAGGGTTCGTAATTACCCTCCTACAGACATTCGGCCTAATAACTGTTTCTATGGAACAAGATTGGAGCCCTGCGTGATAGACACTAAATACTTTCTGTGAGAGGTCTTTCATTTAATATATGCATATTTTAAACATCAATGTTTTTGTATAACATTTCAAATCTGGTTTTAATCTTTAGCCAGTTCCAAAGAGCTCTTTCTTTTCCAGCTGGTTGTAATGCATTTGCAGTGAACTCTTAATACAATGACGTCAAACTGGGCAATTTATATGACGTGTAGGAACATTTCTAGTTTGACCTAATTCATCATTTAATATTTTTTTTTTCTCTGGACTGAGGAGCCTGGCTGATTAATACCCAGGCCTTCATGCATCAGAGCAGCAGACACAAAATGGCGGCGGATGGACATTTATTACTATCTCAGTTGAACAATGTCTCACAACACATGCACACATACACACACACATACACACACACACACACACACACACACACACACACACACACACACACACACACACACACACACACATTTTCAGGACTTTGTTGGTTGTGCATTTGTCATTTTAAGGCCTGCATTCCTTTTTCTACATAAAGTATTTGCAGACCACGTGACTTAAACCAATGTGTAAAATAACAGTGTAACGTTACATAAAAGGTGCGTTTAATACAATGTTTTCCCTTGTTTACTTTTCTTTTAACGGTAAAAGAATAAAATGTGTGTGACGGGATCGCTTTTCAGACCGAGTGTCCTCACATACAGAATCGGGGTTCTAGCTTGGGTTGTTAAACGGCACCAGTGAAAGTTGCAGTTTCACACTGTAAATAAAGCTCTGTGGTCAGTTCCCTGTCAGCCCTTATCTTTATTAGCGTTCACAAATGTCTCTATGGGTTTACAGTGGACGCTGGCTCTCCACTCACGGCTAAGAGAGTGTTTACAGGCCCACATGCAGCCCAGGGGAATGAACAGCACCGGGCTGTAGGTCCCACGCATGATGTGGGCTTCAGAACATTTCTTCAGAAGAATTGTTATAATAATTATAGAGGGACGATAACTTAAGATCAGTGTGAAGGACAGCAAATGAAACAAAGGAATATGAAACCAGTCCATGTGATGGAATTCTTATCTTCTTAGTTCCAGTAAATGTCGGTGAAAGCCTCGCTCGTAGCTCCAGCCTCATACGTAGCCGTCAGCAAACAGAGCAGTGTGAGGCCGACGCGAAGCAGCAGCCGGAGGAGACAGTTTCGGTGTTGTGAGCATGTGAGACAGATAATCTGCAGGGGTTCTGAAGGTGTGAGAGACAGTAGGACCTATGACTGTCACCATCACAACACGGATAAATGCAACCTGCATTTTATTTATTCATTTTGCAACATGGTAGTTTTACCAGATTGTATCACTGATTTGGATCCAGTGGTCTTCAAAAATGTAAACCTAATCTAATTAGCTGTATTTTTTTTAGCAAACATTTGTGTGTTTGCAGGAAGAGTGTTTCACCGATGATGCTTCTACAAATGGTTAAGCATCATCTTGGACGTTAACTTGCTGCTTACCTGTTATGGAGCAAACGCTTTCACGTCTGTTTGAGAAAGACGAGTATTGGGAGTCGGAACGCTCAAGATGCAGCGTAGTACGTCATGGGCAGGATTTATCTTCATGCCTAAGAGGAGCAGATGTGTAAAACAAAATGCTGAATTAAGGTCTGAAGTTTACCCAATATAGCATGATGGGATGCATGATGAAGGGTGTCCTCAATGAAAAGGAGTTACCCGTTTCACCTCAATGTGGAAGGCCTGATTGTTACTTCATATAATTCTGCACACACTGAAGGATATTCAATATGGACTTTGTATGGTTTTGTTTTGCCTTGATTGGGAGACAAAAAGTGTGTGAGGCAATGTTTTTTATATTTGTGGTGTCTCAATTTAACCATAGTTGTATATTTGAATAAAATATTGCTATTTTGTTATAATACACATTTGATAGTTAATTATCCGGTGTGTTTTATGCAATTTTATATACAGTTATGGGTATCTGGAACTTCCTTACATTCAAATATAAAAAATTCTGAATTTAAAAAATAGATTAAACGGATAAATAATATACAAGTGAAAGGCGAATGTATGTATGTAGGTGAATCGATATTTTTTTTTTGTACTGTTTTTAATTATATTGTCCACAATCGTGTAGATCGGATGTTGTGTTCAATCCAACTCCCAGAGTTTAACATGTGTTCTACCCATTTTACCATTTGGCTCAAGAAACACAATGGGCTTATTTTCCACAACAGCAACCGGTGGCTGGACGTCCAATCCAAACAAATACCGGTACTGGTATTGTTACAAACAGCTGAAAGGAGAGAAAAACACTTTAACATGCCCACATGTGATACTCTTCAGTTTACCTTATGAATGCAATTCAAGGAAAACATTTTTAGTCTAAACGTGTGTGACTTGTGAAGTTATTATTTACATCAGAACCCGTTAGCAGCAGACATTCACAGAACATCTGCCGAGCTGCAACATCAACAATGTATTACTATATTAGTTACAATTACATTAAACAAGGGATTACGTGCTACTTTTTGAGGCTTTCTTCTGAGTGTGTGAAAGAGACAGAATTATGAAGTGGTTTCTAAATTTACTTTCCATTGAGCCGCAGGGAAAAGCGTTAATGATCATAATTTAAATTCATCGCTTAACTCAAAAAGAATATTTCAAAGAAAGAAAAAAAAAGTAAAACATCATAATTCCTTTCGGCAAAGATATTTGATAGTTGGTATTACATATCATTACTCCATAGTTTCATAATTCATCTTTATTCTGCACTCCTTTTCCTTTGTACATGAATGTAAATGAATGTACTAGTTGGTAACCTAGACTGTGATAGCTCATGCTAACAGTCCTGGCTCGAGGCCAACAGCGCCTCGCTTATTGGAGAAGCTGGACACATACATGCACAAGTCTGAATGCGTGTGTTTGAGCCCAGCTTCACAGTGACTAATGGTGCAGTTCAGTGTTCTCTCTCTCTGCTTTCACAGCCACTCACAGATAACTCTGACAGCTGAGTATTTTTCTGATCCTGCAGAGATGCTGCAGGAGAAGCTTTCAGCTGTGACGGATGAATGTATGAGCCGGGTCCAGTCCGGTGGGGAGACGGATCTGCTTCCAGAACATTCCCCACTGGGCCTCTCTACAGCTCCCACCATTCCCAGCTCCAGTGAGCCCAACCAGGTACACATGGAGACCGTCGAGTCAACATGGCTGCAGCTTTTAGACTATAATACGGAGGGATTATTCTCCAGATAGTTAGAACTTCATTAAATGGAATGACGTGGGGACGTGTTTATTTATAGTAATACTAAATGAAACTGTGTTTCTCCATATGTTATTTCAATTATAATGCGCTGAAGAGGGTTAGTTTGGTCCGTGTGTGAGTCTAACAGGGATTTCTGCTCTCTTTCAGAAAATTGAGAACATTAAGGTTGCTCTTCATGAGAGGGAGCTGTGGAAGAAGTTCCATGAGGCCGGCACAGAGATGATCATTACTAAAGCAGGAAGGTCAGTAACGCACAAGATTTTGGAGTTCTCATTCATTAAATTTGTATGTTGTCATATCATTATCGATGTTAATATGCTTTAAGTATTTCATCTACTGTGTATGTTTAATCACTTGTTATAGTAGTAAGTACAATGCATCACTCTAAAAGATGATCATATTTTTAGTATGTATTAAAACGCAGTGTGCCATGGATGCAGGGTGCCATGATCACACACACACACACACCCACGCACACACGTACACGACCTTCAGTGTCTTGCTCAAAGACACTTCAGCATGTGGACTGGAGGAGCCGAGGACCGAACTACTGACATTGCATTAGTCATGTTATTGTAACAAAACCTTCTCTCATACTCTTCATAAGATTGTGGAAAGTTACAGACGGTGATACTTAGGTGATGGATTTACCACATAAAATTAGTCTTCAACCTTTCTGATGTAACATAAAGCAGTTATAACTTTGTCAAACTAAAGTTTCCTGCAGCGGTGACTACATAATTGAAAACACAAATGAATGCTAGGCTTTTGGATTTAATGCGACCCGAGGATTAGATAGTGAGGCCTTTGGACATTAACCAGAGAATGAGTACATTCCCTGCCTCTCATTCCTCATGGGATGTTTTTTTTCCAGTAAAAAAATGTAAGAGGTCACCACACTTTTTCCTTAATGCTGCATAACTAGAAGAGATGGGCTTTCCCTTGTCCTGCTGATGGAGTGGGCTCTGAATCCCTAAAGCCCTTTGAAGAGTTGTGCAGCTGTGCTGGGAGACTTGTCTGGGTTTACCTCCAGTACTGCAGTCTGCCACAGACATGCTGAAGGTCACACAAATGTGGGCTCCATCCTCCAGAAGCAAAAGCAAAGGCTCTGAAGATGAACTCTTGCTTAATGATCACTGAACTGAATTATTTAAGTATGTTCCGAAGAGTGCATTAAAGCTATGTTAACACGGCAGAACGCAATGGTCCATGTTGAAAAGTGAATGTTGTAGTAGCCTAGTAAAACACTGTGTAATTTTGCATTAAATCAGACATTTGAGCAGATCATTCATAGTGTATATATATTTTATATATATACACTGTAAAGAACTGCTGTGAAATCCACAGTTTATCCTGTGTTGAGTGTATTCACTCCGACGTTACTGTAAACAAATTACTGTGAAAATAAGAGAAAACATTTGTGAACTTAAAAACAGCAATAAATAAGATACTGTACAAAATCCCATTAATTAAGAATTTACAAAAATTACTATATGAAATCACACTGATTTTCTACAGTACCCTTTTGGTAACTGTTTTTCTACAGTACTTTTTAACTACTGTGTTTTTCTACAGTATACAACTTGTTACTGGGAATTTTTGGTTACTGTGATTTTCTATGATACCTTTTCGGTTACTATGTTCCTCTACAGTGCCTTTTTAATTACCGTGTTTTTCTACAGTACCTTTTTTAATTACTGTGTTTCTATACAATACACACATTGGGTGTGGGTACTGTAGGGTACTGTAGAAAATCAGTTACCAAAAATTGACTGTAGAAAATCACAGTAACAAGTTGTGTATTGTACAGAAACAAATAGAGTACATTAGAAAATCACAGAAACCAAAAATGACTAGAAAATCCAAGTAAAAAGTTGTGTATTGTATTAAAACACAGTAAACAGGTACTGTAAAAGGTACTGTAGAAAATCACAGTAACATGTTGTGTACTGGATAAACACATGGTAAAATAAAAAAAAGCACAGTAGAAAAACACAGTATCGAAAAAGGTACTGTAGAAAATCACAGTAACAAGTGTGTATTGTATAAAAACACAGTAATAATAAAGTTATTGTAGAAATCCAAAACGTATTGTAGAAAGAAAGAGACAGGAACAATTCTGAGGAATGCTGCTACTTGTTACGCTTGCTATCATGTCAGGGTTGAAAATGTTAACTATCTGATGGCTGGCTATTATCAGGGGACTGTACATAATGGGCAAATAATGGAAAGGATTCATTAATGGAACACCCACCAAATAATGTAGCAATTTTAAATGCAGGGGAAATAATCTTTATACTGGTGAATAATAAATTTTACTATCACCATTAAATTAGCATTTCTCTGATAGCATGTTTGGGTTTAACTGTCAGATTCGTAGTTCAGCAAAGTGTCATCCCTTATTATATTCTGATCAGTGGAAGCGGGTCACTAGAGGGCAATGGGGCGTGGCCCCACCATGAGCAACAACAAAAAAAATGTATATATATATATATATATATATATATATATATATATAGAATTTTAGTTGTTTATTATATTAAAAATACATTTTACAAATAGTCAATATTTTGTGTTTAAGATATCTGCGCAAAACATATGCTTTTCCTGCACACACACACACACACACCCACGCACATGGAGCGCTTGTCTGCATGTCTCAGCTGGGCTCGGGCACGGTCCCAAAGCGGCGGGTCTAAGAAGCAGTTAGCCAATCACTGACAAACTTAATGATTGACATTATAATTTCAGCGTCCTAGAAGTACAACATCATCATCTTTAAAAAAAAAAATCCAAATGTCATCCAGGTTAACAAACACAAAAGCATTCAACATGTCTCTTACGACGTCATTGACTGAAAAGCCGGGCTATTAGTGAGACCAAAGGTGGCCACTGAGAGTGTTAAAAGACACCCACTAAAGATGTGTCCCATGAGGACGCCCAGGGGTTCAGTGTGACGTGTCAGGCCGTCCAGGGCATTGGCGAACAGGGGAGCCTTGAGGGTTTTACATTGATAATTGGAGTTGCTCCGCCAGTGACTCAATGAACACTGCTAGTTCCAAGGAGGCCGCGGGGGAGGACAGGAGAGTGTGCGTACCAGGTCTGGGAGGAAGAGGTTCGGTTCACCAGTAATCCTCCTCCTACTGGTGAGCCGGGTCTTTTGAGGTGCCTCAGCTGGCCGCAGTACAGTTCGGAAATCTAGGTAGAAATGAAAGTTCTGGGTGACAGAAAGACAGAGTCAGCCAAGCCTTTAAAACCTAAACAAGCAAGAATCTACAGCCAGAAGCTGAACTGAGGCCCAGCAGCGCTTTGAGGTCAATTCTGCAGATTCCATGGCGATGCTAACACGCAGACAACTCAATGTCCACTTGCTGCTCCTAACCATAGGCTTGATTCGTCTTTGTAATGTCCATCACATTTCTGATTTCTGAGGCCAGTATGTGTACACTGTTTTAGTAATTAACCATAAAAAGAAAACAACGAAATGAAAGGTGAGGACAGTATTGTATCTCTTTACATTAGGAGCATTATGTATAGGTATATTTGAGTGCTCTCAGACAGGAGTCTATTAGATAATAGGGGGCCCAAAACAACGCTTGATAATGGTTAAACAGAGCAAGAACCTTATTATAGTCATGTCAGTAACAACACGGTAATGATTGCAATATTTGGTAAGCTGTAGATAAAGGGGTAATAAAATGATTATGATGAGGTAATATAGGTTAATGTTTTGCCAATTTAATCTAATGTGTATTTGTACCATGTTATGATGCAATTTATTCTCTCTAAAGTATGTATAAACATACAAACAGGGAATACTGTGTAAATAATATGCTTTGTTAAGCTGTGTCTAAAAGCATCTAAAATGCTGCTAAACTTTGTGCATGTAGGATCTATGTTCACAATGGGTCAAATGCTCGGCCTCTGGTACTGATTCTTGCAACCTTCTGGACCGCTCATAAAAACAACTCTTAGATTCTCATCAATACACCCACAGTAGCTACGTCTCAGACCCAAGGGGCAGCTACGCACGGCGAGGAGCGTCAGTGACACTCTGGTTCAGGAGAAAACACCAGGGAGAGACAACCAGCTGCTGGGGACCCCTTAATAAACAGGCCCCAAACTAATGGAGATAAATTGTGTTTTATAGAAATACGAAAAATGGAAATAAAAAAATGGAAATTGTGCTGGTTTCGTTCCAAGTTCAGATTTGTTACGAGTAGAACATTTAAAATATGATGCATTACTACTCCTAAAACTTTCCAATATCCATAATATTATTGGATGGTACCGATCTACGGGTTATGAAGTGGTGTTTCAGTCAGAGGGGATATCGGGATCCTAAAGGTTTCCAAAGTTAGTGCCCAAGCAATGGAAATATTTGTAACTGTGTAAGAGTATTAGATTAATAATAACATATGATAATTACATTTAAGATGCAAGTACATTACAGTACAGTTACACATTGAGCATTTTATGTTCAAAATTTCCTAAAAAGAAAGTCAGAAATATAAAAAGATGTAAACCATCATCAATATATTGTAAAAAGTAAAAAGTGGCATGAAGAAAAAAAGAATTTTGATAAAGAAGTCACCTGGTCTAAAAGCATTTGGTTCCCACAGTGGGAACATGTGAGGAGGGTCCGCTCAGAGGAGACAGGGGAGGAGGTACAGATGCAGAGCTGGCAGGCCGGCATGAAGGGAATCCCACATTTCCCCGACACTCTGAGCTGAAGCTTGCTCGGCCCACCGCCATGCAGCACCTAGCTGAGACCGCTAGACTTGTTATTGTGAGTGTCATTGTGCAGGCGTAATCCTCCCTCTTCAAAGCACCCTGTGCAGCTCTTCCCTCACTCTCCCTCTTTGTACACAGCCCGTCAAGAGAGCAGCGACGGGTTGATAAGAGGAATCCGGCGCCCAATAGGCAGAGTCTACGAGGTTGTGGCGTTTACTACCCTCCCACCCCCCCAACTCCACCCTCCCAACACTCCTTTTGATCTTGCCGTGGTACTGGAGATTCCCAGAGCGGGAATGGATCACTGCAGGGCCTAAACATGTGGGATTGTTAAGAGAAACAGCTGGCTGGGCAGAGAAACACGCACACGCCCCGACAGCGATATCATACACACTCTCTCCGACCATTTCTCATGCTCCTCTTAAACTCACCCACTTAGTCACACCGCAGTATGTATATGCATGCCTTCATGCTGACTTTGACCATCAGCTGACTAGAATTGCAGAGCTGTGATTACTTTTTATAGGAGTAGCAAATAAGCAACAACATAATTCAGCGTTCTCCACCTAGATCTTAGACGGACAGTAAACAAAAGCACTACAGTGAGAGTCAGAGCACGTTTTCTACATCTTTTAATGTGGGAAAAATGTGGAAAACGGAGCTACGCTGAATATATAATCCTGACATCTACCTGAGAGAAGTGAGAGGCCGCATTTTGGATTCAACACCATAGTTAAAAGGAATATATATATATTTATATACATTTTTTTGTATAGCCCCAAATCACAAATGACAAATTTGTCTCAGAGATAGAACATCCTCTGTACCAAAACCCTCACAGTAAAAACTCCCCCAAAAAACAGAGAAAAACACAGACAGTTTGCAACCTTTGGGAAATTAAATCCAGCTACCATTAGTCATGTTTGACATGTGGGGAGAAAAAAAAAATGTATAGCCCAATTCTGTGAGCTGACATATAAAACATGGTCTACGAGTGGCAGTAAAGGTGCAGCAAATGGATGAAATCACACAATTGTTTTTACATTCATTGGGTTTATGATACGCCTGGGCTGCATTCAGATGAATTAGAGTGAATTACATGTTATGGATTCCTCTTCACAGAGTGACAAAACGAAAAAATAATTAACCACACTAAAGGGTCAGTTCCAATATACATCGTAGTTCCGCAGAGATGTTTCAACACTTAATACACTGGATTAGTGGAATCTTAAAACCCGCAATAGGCTTCAAATTAAAAGCTTGTTGGATTTCTTGAAAGCGCCTGGGAACCGCCATATTGTTTTGTAAATTACTAAAACATAATCCCTGTACTCTGGCCCAGTGTGGAGATGGGCAAATCATTGTGTCTCTACGTCACTGTGACATCTAGTATGGACTTTCTGAATACAAATGCTACTCCGTAGATGATGTCAGCCAACATGTTACACTACCTCGTTAACAGCATATTCGATGCTTAGTTAGTGTTCTAACATAGACACATTTTGATTCAACAACATTCATTTGTGTATGCTATTGTGATGCATCAGGTTCATCTGTCCAGCTCGACAGCTGACGCCTGAGCAGCAGCAGAGCCCTTCTCTAGATAGTTATGACCGTATCACACAAATCCGAGGGCCGCATGTGTTGACACAGGCCTCCGTCTGCTCCATCTGTATGGTATGAATGGAGCCAGAAATGAGCTTGGCTCTGCTTTGAATGTTCCTCTAAGATTAACCTGTCTTTCAGTGAGGATGATACCAGGACTGATCTCTCCTACTGATTGGATTTAAAGCCAGGGAGAGATTTAAATTACCTGCCCTCAATCCCCCTCCTTTCTCTCCTATGTGAGGGAGTATTTACAGAAACATGATCAGATGGTGTCAGGCACTATGATGCTTTTGAAGAAGAGCATCTGCACCAATGGGAACAGCAAGTATGCATGAAGGGGTTTTGATGCTACGCTAATTTCCCCGCGAGCATGCAAAGCCTTTCACGAGAGTGTTTTAACTCGTCGCTTTGGGCGCCACTGTCAGATAAACTGCAGTCCTGTTTGACCAGAGCCTTTAGTGCAATGACGATTCAGCTATCTAAACTATTGTCCGATCGCAGCTGCCATTAAAAACCACTTAGATCTTTATAAAAGGCACTGAGCCCTCGGCTAAATTTCCTCTGGCATTGAGGGGATGAAAAAGTTTTTGGTTCCCAGAAGGGGTCAGGAAAGGTAGCTCCCTTTATGTGTTTTATGGCTTCAGTGTTTTCCCTACCATTATAACAGGGGCCACCTTCCCCCCCCCTGAAAAACTAAAAAAAAAACGCATGGCAGTACCGCACCGACACATGCACGAATATGTCCGTGTATGGTTGCAGTTTTGAGCTAAATCAAAATAAGGTTGAATATAGTTTTGACTAAGTTCTATCATTTTTTTTGAATATTTTTTTTTTCATTCTTCACTTATATATATATTTTTCATATACACTTTATTATATTTTTCCATTGAAAATTGGATATTTTCAGATCAAAATCGTACATTTTGAAGTTCAAGGCCTGGATTTGGCTCCATAAACCCCCTTCCCTCCCCCCGTCGGCCCAACTGTTGGCCCTACTACTACTTTTCCATTATTACCGGCACTTCGGCCACACATTAAGACCAATCCGTCCAGCTCGCAGACCGGTCCGTATTGGTAAAATAAGGTTTCACTGACGAGCTATTGAACCGGGAAGTCTGAATTTGTGAATATCTTGCCAACTTTACAATGAAGGATCTTGCGCATACTTTGTCTCATAATTTCGACTTTACATCATAATTTCTATTTTCCAAAAATCGATCCATATGAAAGTTGGCTAGATATTCACACTTCATTTTACCAATACGGACCGGTCTGTGAGCTGGACGCACCGGAAGTAAACAAACGTTAACTATGTTCAAATATTTTGTTGCATTAATCCTTTATCAACCTAATCTCTGAAGAACATCAGTCGTTCAGTGTCGAAAATTGGACGCACAGATTCCATGACGATACTTAACCTACACACAACTGTTTTTAACGGCCCCATTTAATTCTTTAAAAAACAAAAAGATAGATAAGAGCATTTCTGATACCTTTCCTTTACATTTTTCCACAGGAGGATGTTCCCTAGCTACAAGGTTAAAGTAACTGGGATGAACCCTAAAATCAAATACATCCTACTTATTGACGTTGTTCCAGCTGATGACCATCGCTACAAGTTCTGTGATAACAAGTGGTACGTTGGATTTCTGATTATTTTTGTTGAAGGTGGCCCGATGGCCAAGTCCTACAGACTTTCTTAGCAGCTAAGTGGATTGTAGCCGCTTGAATAACAAATGCCTCGGCCCAGACAGTAGTTAACTTAGGCCCAGTGGGCAATCAACGGGCTGAGACCTCAGGTGCCATATTATTTTCCAACCGTTATTACCAGACAAACCAAAGATAGAAGACTGGATTCCAATCAAATGTGTCTTTTACCATATTAAAAAACATGGATTTCTAGAATATCTGAGCATGTCACCTACTTTATGGTTAACATTAGGGATAGATTATGGTAGTGGTAAAATGTTATTCAAAATTTAACTATAACCCTTTGTTCACTGGTTTGACTATCTGTATCGGTCTCTAAGTCAGCCCTGCAATTGATAGCTGGGATTGACTCTGCAACCAATAAGCAGTAGAGAAGATGACTGACTGATTAATTTTCTGGATTAGGAAATAGGCACCAAATGATATAATGGAATAATATCCGATTAGACGGGTCATGACGTGGCCCTAATCTATAGGGTAGTTGTGTCAAGTCATTTAGTTTAAAGACTTTTTTTTATATATTTAGCAAAGAATGGACCCAAAAGCAAGTTTTTGCATCCGTAACAAGTTATGCTGGCCCTGAACATGGCCACTCGTTTGTAAATCTACAGGTTACAGCAAAGGGCAAAATTATGACGCCAATGTTCTGCCTTCCTTCTTCACTCCATGAGCGGAGGGACAGTCCTAACGTGTGTGAGATGCTTCAGTCTCAGCGTTGTTCCATTTCCCAAAGATGCCACACAAAATCATAGCAGACCTAGACCACTATTATAAATACTATGTATTTTTTATTGAAAATTGTATAAGATCCAATAATTGAAGCCTGGCATAGATTAAAAGATATGTGTTACTACACATATTCATTGACTCCTTTCTGCAGGGTACAGTCAAGACAAAGAGAAAAGCTGCTGCACTGAATTCAGTATTTCAAACTGGCATTCACATTTCCCACAAGTGGGCCAAAGGTTTTACATGGAGAAGCTGAAATGAACATAAAATACTTTCACAGCCATTTGCTTTTGATGTTGTTGCATGGCCTGCAGATGGTGGGTTCTGGTGTTCCTCAGCAACACCTTGGAGAAGCATAATTAGTAATGATGTATTAGCAGAGGCCAGGCTAAAGGATTAAGTACAGTCAGGGTTGAGAGCAGTAGTGTTGTACACCTCTCTATTGCTCCGTTGCAGTAAAGCACTCATTCATGTGGTGACAGGGACAAATAGTTGTAGTTGTATGTTATATTAACCATGATCTTTACATGTTAAACCGCATTAGCTCTTTTAAACAGTTGAAGGCCACATTACATTGTTTGTTTCTTCACATTCTCCATCTTTTTTTAGGATGGTGGCTGGCAAAGCTGAGCCAGCAATGCCAGGCAGACTCTATGTGCACCCTGACTCCCCCGCCACAGGAGCTCACTGGATGAGGCAACTGGTGTCGTTTCAGAAGCTCAAGCTAACAAACAATCACCTGGACCCTTTTGGGCATGTGAGTACCTGCAGATATCAATACCTTTTTATTACTATTTCTATTCTCATTATTCCAATGGTTAATGATATAATTTCACCCATCTATTGAATCACTACGATGTGGCTTGGAGGTAGAAGTTGTCATTTTCCAAGAAGAGGATGGACGGTTTGATCCTCCAGTCCAAAGGCCTTCTAAATAGCTATTGTAGGCTATGTATTTGTGGGGTATGAATGGGTTATGATCCACGAGTGGATAAATGGGTGTGGTGTTCAGTGCTTTAGGTGTTCGGAAGATCGGCTATACAAGTACAAGTCCGTTCCGACATTCATCTGTGAGAGACTCAAATTTGTACTAATCCACATTGAAGATATTTTTCAAGGTGTAAGTGAAGTGTTAACCTGTTGTTAACACTACAGGCAATGTTAGGGGGTCACCAAAGGCAGCAGATTAATCCTCAGTGCAAGATGGGCAATCCAAGCAATAGTTGCCTAAGTGTCCAACATTCCAACATTGCCATTCCTAGTGTAGCCCGAAAACATGTGTGAACTACATTTTATATGAACCATTTGCAAGGTGCAAAAAGGTAGAGGTGTTTTTCAGATATCTGAAAGAAAGAATTGAAGAAACGAAGGAGGCAGGGCCTGCGTAGTGATGTGAAGAGTATGAATGTGGCAGCGCTCCCCAGGGGGGCTCTAGGATAGCTTGTCTGAAGCCATCCCATCAATGGGCGGGCTCATTAGGTTCATAACCTCTCAGATCCATGGCAGGGCCTGCTGTCACATCCAGTTGAGTGCCTGGCCAGTGATAAGGGCGAGTAATGAGGGGCGTGTGCGTTTGAGGCGAGGCAGAGCCCCGACGACGCCAAGATCGGGAGGTGTGTACTAGTGCAGGCCTTCTCACTGTGGAGTAAAGGATCTCCCATTCAGTATTAATTATGCACATTGGTGAATGTGTTACAACATAATTCAACTATAATTCACACACTTCTTCATGTTCTATGGTTATCCAGCCTAGTATCCCAAAGAATGTTGTGCATCTTGGACAAAACCGCCCCACACCATTTTTACCCATCGATAGTGGGTAGTATGTATAGTAATACATAGTATTATGACTTTTACGCTGCAATGCGATAGATAATGTGTGGAGTTTTGGGTGGCTAATGGATGTCTGGACTGGAAGTTGGATCCCATAACTTTAAGTACTTTATATTGATAGTCACCTTTATATCAACCATAACCACTGTCTTTTCCTAGCCTTAATCTGGGTTTCATCATATCATCCAATATTGAAGTCCTAGTCTGCCAATAGGGTTGAGTGATGACATGATTACATCCAAGAAGTCATTCTAAGCACTTATCCGTATCAGGAATATTAAGGAAGATCCCTTAGATAGTCCCTTAGACAGTCACTCAAGATCCTTCAGTATCACCCCCCAACAACAGACAGACAGCAGAGCAGACAAAGGGTCAACAGAAGGCCTCTGGCAAACCAGCCAATAGCTGGTCATCTGTGTCTCCCCAGACCGCCGCGGCAACAGGAGCATGTGAGCACAGGGCCATTCACTGCTCAGCCTGAGCCTAGCTCCCTGTGCCCTGTTCAACCTTTGCTTCTCTTTGAGAGACCCCTGGAGGACGGGGCTCCTTGGGAGACTCTGGAGAACGAGGAGGGGAGCCAAAGTGAAGTGCTTGATGTTCATCTGCATTGACAGAGCTGGACTAGTGATGACCCTGCCTTACTGTTGCTAACGCTTCACTGGGCACAGCAGTCGGCCGCAGTGAGCGGATTGATGCGAGTGAGCTGACCTGCAGCCACCCATGCAACCTAAACACTATGCACGCTCAGCACACGTCATCTGCTATTCGAACACACAACACATTTGAATATCAGATTGATCCAATCCAACAACTTTGCACTCAAAAGACTTGATTCCAATGGGGTATTCAGCAGTTAATGGATGGTGGTAACATGCACGGAATACAATGCATTAACAGTAACATCAAAGACAGCCATAAACACACTAATTTCACTCATTGGTCACTGCTCTTCAGAATAATGAAAGTGTGATTTTTACACTGAACATCTAACACGTTATGGTTCTATGTTCTGGGGGTAAAAAGTACAAGAATTAGGTACTTAAACATGACACAATCTTAATAGTTTATTTTACAAAGATGTAATCTTTGTGCACTATATACTAACCTATATTGTGGCAAACATTTCAAATGTCATATCTAAATTAAATGTCAGTAACTTGAATGACGAAATAACTAACCAGCTAATCCATAATATTTCACTGAATTTACCCTAGACTTTATGTTGCCTAATCACTTAATCCGTTTTTTTAATTGACATTGGTGACCTTATGTTTCAAATCATTAATCACAACGAAAAATCGGTTTGCCATATACGTCATTGGGAATGTTGTTTAGTTGTAAGGGAACGCTATTCAGTTGTTCTTGCTTACTGGGCCATAATCAGTGTTTCCCCTGTGCTTGATCTGACAAGTTAACACTGAATTCTAAACACTAGAACTAGAACAAATTATTTAGGTTATATTGTTTTGTTGTGCAGTTCATTTTTTCAAGCACCTATGTACATAGCTTCTAACCTCAAGGGAAATGTACTGAGGAATTGTCCTCATTATATTAACTCATTAACTCATATCCATCTCAATGTTGTAATTGTCTTCACTGAATAGTAGTAACGGCCTATGCTGTTGTATGGAAACTAAGTTTACTGTATATTCTGGAGAGAGTGACAACATTACATAGTGGAGTGTCCCAACCTTAAAGCAATCCAGGTGTTTAGTGGATCGTCTCTTGTTGTCATTATACTGTTAGTACCTCAGCAACTGCAAAACATCAACTGTGGAATTTAGAACTTTACACTTAAAGCCAGTAAACATTGTCAATTTCTTTGCCAGCTAGTTATGAAAAATAAAAACTGACTGTTTCAAATATGAAATCTTCTCTTTCCATTCCTAGATCATCCTAAACTCTATGCATAAGTACCAGCCCAGGCTACACATAGTCAAAGCCGATGAAAACAACGCCTTTGGATCCAAGAACACTGCCTACTGTACTCATGCCTTTCATGAGACAGCCTTCATCTCGGTAACCTCTTATCAAAACCATAAGGTAAAGCACCTATGAAATAAAATTCATGCAATATCTTTAGTTTTACAAATGCAAGAGTAACATTCGTTGTTGTATGTGTAACCTTTTTTTATTGAAGGTGAATCATGTTAAGGAAAGTAAATGATGAGAGGTTTTTGTCTAAATTGAAGTCTGCATGGGGTGAATGGATGTTTAAAGCTCACCCGTCCCCCCACAGCAAAGAAGCTTTTCATTATTGCTTCATCTACTGTTAGTTTGATACTAAATGGAATGAAATCTTTAATGAAACATTATTTTTCTAGATCACTCAGCTAAAGATAGAAAACAATCCATTTGCCAAAGGATTCCGGGGTAGTGAAGAAGGAGATCTACGCGTTTCAAGACTACAGGGGTATGTTTACACAAAAAAGAATCAGGAAAAAAGGATAGGTCTTGTAGGATCATTTAGCCAATTGTATGTCTCTCATAAATGTCAGCGCTCCAGGAGATTTATTTTATGTTTGGATATTTTTTTCAAAAGATACTTTGCCTTCTTGACAGACTGTCTTGTGGGATTGGACGCATGTCAGACTGTTTCCTTTTTTCTTCTGTTGCTGCTTGTTGTACAGGAAAGACTATCCAGTGATTTCAAAGAACATGGTTCGCCAGAGGCTCATCTCGTCACATAGCCACCTAGCAGGGAAGCTCGGACAAGGAGTTCTTACAGGGCACCCTCAAGTGCTGTCCTCTTATCAGTACGAGACTGGGGTTCCTTTGTCTAACTCAGACCCCCAAGATCCTATTTCGAGCCACTTCCCTCAGAGCAGAGATCCCAGCCTTCTGTACCACTGCTTCAAACACAGAGGTATGTTCATAGCTGCTGTTGTTCTAGCTATTGTCCAGAATATGACATGTCCGTCATGTACTTCCTGGTTTAAATTCAAATGTAACTGTATCCATTTGCAGATAATGCCCGACACCTAGAGCTTGGATGTAAGCGGCCGTATTTGGAGACAGCATCTGTGGTCTCAGAGGAGCATTACCTTCGTTCAGCTGCTTACGAGTCGATGTCTCATCCATACTGCACTGAGGCGATTACCTCTAGAGAGGCTTGTATGTACGGTAGTACAGAGACAGAGTCTGCAGCAGTAGTAGTGGACGCAGATGACTTGGCCAACTCCTCTTCAATAAATTGCAACATGTGGGCTTCAATGCAGCCCTACCCTCGCTATAGCGTGGAGGGCGTCCCCTACCAGCCCTTCACTGCTCACTTCACCAACGCTGCCACGGTCACTCCGGTACCGCACCCCACATCATCCATGGCGCCTCGACCACAGGCTGACATGGGCATCTACAACTCAGCTACGGTTCTGCCTGTTATACCTCCTTCATCCTGCCCTCCAGCCGTTTCAGGATCCAGAGAACGGTCAGGCCATCCGCCTTTGTACCAGAAGAAACCAGGGTCTCCTCTTCGGCCTCAAAGAGATTTCTCAGTCTATCCAACACAGGGCACTATATCTATCCGGGATCCATCCTATCAGTACCAAGCAGGGCTGAGTAGCGCTGGGACTCATTGGACTGACAGCTAATATGCACACTTGAGGAAACAGTTATGCCACTGTACAAGTCTGAAATGAATCAAGGTCCAACACCCCACTTGTGGGCTGCTGATGCCAAGCAGACAGTGAACCACAGCCATGATCATTGCCAAAGCCTTTTATAGGCATGAATTCTCACCGAAGCACTTTTACATGCAACACTGTGTGTGGTGAACAGTGCCCGAACTCTTTACTTATGTGTATTGTAGCAATTGTACGGATACGATTGTTTTCAACACTCAAACGCAAAGGGCAGGTTTTCATTAACACCTTAAAGTCTGTGAGAGGAAGCTGTAAGAGACGCAAAGTCTGACACTAACTGGCTAAGAACAACTATCCAAAAAGTTTTGTCTATCTAGCCTGATGTAAAAATGAGGATCATATTTCAAAATAGACCATCGATGAGATGGTTCTTCTAGAGAATGAGAGGCGAAGATGTATTTACGAAATGATTTTTTTTTAGTGAAGGATTTTTGATCATATCTTGTAGAGCTCCACATAGATACAGCATGGTTATGAATGAGGCTGCTGGTATTATATGTATTTCTTCATTTCAACAAATTAAATGAAAAGCCAGGGACGCATCATGTATTCTTTTTTTTTCTTTGCCTGGCAGCAAGCACAGAAACCATGGAGGGTCGACTGAAAACATGGCTGTTTTATTGTTTATTTATACATTTGTAGTTTGTGTATTTTCATGGCATTTGTTGACAATGAGTAAAATATATATACATACATACACACCCTAAAGGTGGTGGAGCTCGGGTAAATGTCCACTAGGCATCACAGATAAAAAAAGTTGTCGCAGTTTTGCATCCTAATCATTCATATGTGCCAAAGTTTTGCTACTCCTTGATGTATCTCGTTAAAGTGAATTGAATTCATACAGAATGATCGACATTTTCTGACAATAACCGAGAGAAAAGTGCATTGCGCCTTGACATTAAGAATATAATACAAAAAGTTAAATTACAGTCCTTTACCATGATTTACATACAGATGAAGTAAATCATGTTAAAGATTAACATAACTTCCATTGTGAGATAGTCTAAAGGGCCTATTCAAATACCTTGTACAGGTCTGTGCTGGTTGCGTGATACTTGCTTAAGACTCAGCCGCCAATGGTCCAAACTTATGACTCCAAACTATATTAAGGTGAAACAGGACAGCAACCAGATGCAGGCTTACAGGGCCGCTGTTAAGCCGGGGTGAGTGCTGGAAAAGAGAGCGGCACACAAATCCCACTCCCAAATGACTTACTAATACAATCTGTGTAAGTATAAAACAACAGGAGTCGGCAGGAAAGCTGAAAGAAAAGGTTCTCGCTAGCATTACAGTAAGTGCAGTCTGAGCCGACATTGACCAGTACAGATAACTGGAGCATATGATCGTGATCCCTCATGCATTGTCCCTTTATTTCATGTCTTATTTTAATATTTTGGATAGATTGACATGTTTGCACACCTGATGAATAAACATTTTCATACCTCTAATTGTTTGCTATATTCTATTCCACCAGTGTACTGCTTTGCATAAAACTCACTTTGAAATCAAATTAGTGTGAAATATATTTTAAGGGGATTTATTATCAAGAAATGTTTCATCACAGATATTTTTTGTTTGAATTATTGATATACAAGAAAATGTCACTGGAAACTGCAAACCTGGATCAGCAAGGTTTTTTTGTATCATTTTGAAGATACTATACATGCACACAAATCTGAAGTGTCTGAACAAGTCAATGAATTATTACAGCAACGCGATCGTCAGTTTGATCCCCGGCTCTGATCGTCCATGTCGACTTGCTAGCGCTACGTGAATGATTCGCTAGCCACGGTGGGCAGGTGGCCCCGCGCATGGTAGTCCCTGTCATCAGTGTCAGCGTGTGGATGTCTGCATGAAGACATGTAGTGTTGAAGCGCTTTCAGCGGTCAGAAGACGAGAAAAGAGATCTACAAGAACCGTTCTCATTTCCTGCTTGCAGGAATGTGCAGTGCCACATTGTTGACATTGTGAAATGGTAGGTCAGAGCTGTTAGGTCAGTTTTAGGAGACAAAACTACTTGGTTAAGGTTAGGAGAAGATCACGGTTTGGGATGATAATAATAATAACAACTCCTTCTGCATGTTGCACTTATTGTTGTAGAGGAAAAAGAAGCTGCAGCACTTGCAGTGTACTTTATTACTGTACTGTAACTGAAGTTACAGTCAGTAATCAAGCTAAAGCCAATGTAGAGACATCATCTTCCATTGCTTTCCCCCTCACAGAGCTCTCATTAGATCATGAGTTATGCTGATGGCAGGGTCCTGGGTCACGTCAGCACCTCTTTCTCTATCTTTTCTCAGCTGGGGAGGCATTTCACATGAAGGGAGGCTCTTCACAGAGAGGGTCCACTGAAATCAACGAATCCCCAGCCCGTTATCTTGGAATCCTCATAACCTGCCTGATAATACTCATTAGACATTCATTTGGCTGTCAAAGTACAGTTTCGGTCTTTAGTGTTATTGAATTGGATTCGCTGGGCCATACCAGTATTTATGGACATTGCATATTTACAGTCTTCCGTTTTGCTGACCCTTTTCAAATGAATGCTGGAAGTTTTTTTTAGTGAACTTAGATCAGCTTTCATTGATGTCAATAAGGCATCAAAATGGATTTGAGTCTTGACACTTTTGTTCAAGTTGGGTAAATGCTGACAGGGAACGGGAGGTCTGGTTCCTTTTTGTCAAACGTCTTTGTTCTTCTGGAATGAAAACTACATTCCAAAACCTAAAACTATCAGCCTCTTTTGCAAAATGGTTAGCTTAAAGATAAAATCTGTTATTTGCAGTAGTACAAAGTGCAGCACTTTGAGAGTCTGTGTAGTAAGGGTGAGGCAACACCATCAGAATGCTTTGATTTACGAAGGATTATGGTTTGCTTAAATTGAAATCTATACTTCCCATATACAATGTATAGTAGTTTGTATATATGCTCTTCTCATTGTACGGTCTACTACTAATTAACTAATAAACATCATGTGCTTAAAAAGTAAGAATAAAAGGTTTGGGGGCATTAGGAAGGTTAGTGTTTCAATTATTCTTCATCAACCAAGTTGACAATCTGTGAAAATATAATGCTTGTGACTGTGTAGTTTGCAGAATTGCGCAGAAGTTAAAAGGTCCCAAAACATTTTTTAAGACTCCATTTATTTGAACATCAGTAAGCAGAACAATACAGTGCACAGGTTCACACACGGGTCATATTCTAAATGCGGCTGAAAAAGAATAGTCAGTAATTATCTCAAATAATTTATAGACCATTTGTGACCTCCTCACTCTGGCTTCACCTTTTAATAGTGATGAGAGAACAGAACTGGACTGCTGCTGCGGCCAACACTATCTGTAAAGAACACAAACAAAGTCTGAACTTGTTTTGCAGTTTGGAAATGTTGTCCTCAAAACAACAGACAGTTTGAAGGAAGGTGGTCTTCATTCAAAGGAAAAGTAGCATACGTTTGCACCAAAGATCCCAGACTTGAGTTTAATAGTTCAAGTGTTTTTGGTCAAAGCTTTTACAGTGGATCAAAGGGTCAAGTGGCCATATTTGAATTTATGTTATCTAACTTTCCACATAAAACCCCATTGAATCTCATCATAAAGAAGCACAGTGGAAGTCCCTTCGCACAAGCTAACCAGACAGAGTATGTACTGTATCTCCAGTGAGAGAACCTGGACCTGCAGTCCATCTGGAAGTCATTGTACGGAGATCTGGCCATTCCCCTCTCCCGCATGTCGCACTGCCCTTCCCTACTGTCGTCCCATAATCCCATCTAACGGCCGCCCGGGCCTGGCTGGCCCATTCCGACACACACAGGCTTAACTCGCCCGTCTTGTAAAAAAGAAAAAGCCTGGTTTTCGGCAAGGCACTCCAAAAAGACACTTTAAATAACTGAAGGGGATTTAATATCAAGTCCATTAGGGATTTTCTCGAGGCCTGTAAATTGTCAATTAGCAGATGATTCTGATTTGATCCACATGCAGAGAGATCTGCAATGAAAAAGGACGAGGAGAGGCCAGGAGTTTTACACCAGATTATGTCCATGTGCCCTGAGCACAGCGTGACATTAAGCGAAGCAAAGGACAGTGAACGTGCTGACGTGTTGCAAGTAGTCTTCCTTTTCCTCCTTCATAAAAATGATTCATTGTGTACAGAAAAAGCAGATGGTTTACCGACAGTGGGCACTGCTCGGTAGAGAGGGAGGCTCTGGGACGGGGCCAAAAGGGCACGCTGTGGGTTCAAAGCTCTAGTGGAGGGACATTGAAATGTGTTTGTGTCCCTTGATCAAACATACAGCTGGTTGTCAGCAGTATAAAACGTAGCTAAAGCTGCTGTATAAAACCAGATCCTTAGATTTCAAACCGGCTTTGGATAAAAGCATCTGTAAAAACTAAAAATAATTACAAAAGGGAGAGGAAAGGGACACGGATTATTTACTTTTAGTTGGACAAAAACATTTTATATTGGAAAAGCTCACATTCTTTGGAAGTGACATACAATGTCAGCAGAGCAGAGACAGACCGACATGCAGTACTAAATGTTGTCTTTGGACTTTGAAGCAACTTCAAAATGAAACACAAAGATAAATTAAACGCCAAAATACGATGAAAAGCCAACCAAAGTAAACACTCCAAACTACTCTGGTGAAATACAGTGAAATACTGCATATGGCAAAACAAAGAAAACCATGCTGTGCCTCCTCTAAGCAGGGTCATAAATTAGCGTCTGAGGAAAAATGTTCTGTAAGATTTCATGAAATGCTTGTGAAATCATAACTGAGTAGCATTCCATCTCGTAACTGTCAGTAAACCTTACCTGCAGTAGCACTTTATGATACCATATTTTTTCTAGTGTGGTGAAAGTAAGAAAATTGAGGGAAGCAATCCGAAGGTCCAAAGAGCTGCTTGCACAACACAGGGAGGGCACAGGCCATGTTGGTGTGTTGTTCTAATTCGAAATATGTGCAAATCTATGGCTGCAGCGTAGCAAGGAAATGATGACAAATGCATCATAGAATACTGCAAACCTCCCCGTGCACAGCCCTTTACTTTACTGCAAAGCTGCAGCTTTGTTAAGTTACTCAACCTGAATGTGCCATGTGACTCGAGGTGGGGGCACGTTCACTGCGTTTCCAAAACATAACTGACCGCAGATTGTGCTGAATATTTAGTCATAAACCATCATCATTTGAATGTTAGTGCGAACAAAGATTAAGTTACGTATTTAGTAGTGCTGTCAACACAAACGCATTCATCTATGCGTCTAATGTGGCTAAGATTAATGCCTGCAATGTTTGTTTACTTTCGGTCCCGATGTGGTTTGAAAACGTGGCTTGGAAACGTCCTAAATGTGGGGACATTATTGTCACTTCAAACAGCCGTTAAATGATGGAGAGTTGAGAGCAAAGTGCAGGAGGTTCGCTCGTCCAAGATGATCACATGTGTGTAGTTTGGTGTTTAAAATAACATTAACAATTAAACAACAGTGTCTAAAACACTTTCTAAAGTGATTACTCGTGTTACTGAAAAAAACAACAACATTGTAACGACAACAACAACATTCATTAATCGAGATGAATGAATTTCAAAATGTGCGATTAATTCGATAATATTGTCAGCCCTAGTATTTAGTTATAATTTGTTCTCTATCTTAATAACTTTAAAATCAACCAGAACCTACGAATCTAACCAGTGCATCATTCTTGGCACCTAATATTTAAATACGGAACTGGACAATGCACATAACGCAATAATACGAGTAGTACAAGTGTCAAAGACGGACACCGTTGGGCTCTTGGAGCAGTGTTTTGCTCACCGGCAATTTTGGTAGACTATTTTCAATATAAATAACAATTCAACAGAAAGTAAGCCTTTTCCCCGAGTGAAACATTTTGGGGGATGCCGTTGATTGGAATATCCGCCACTGGTGGAGCAATGTTCTCTGTAGCTCTGGTCCTGGAGCTGACCTGGAACCAGCTCTCACCATGGTGACTGCACCCCAATCCACTTGTTGTGCTCACCTCAGCACCTGCTGCTGATGTCTTGTAAAGCTGTTTTACGCACTACTCATTAAGATTTTAGTTTTTGCATTAGCGCTAAAAAATAAACATACTGTGACTGAACAAATCATTTCCATTTGAAGGGCAACTGTCTGTAGACGGAGATCTGGCAGCAATGGACTCCATAAGGAAAGACAATGGCTGCCTGTAAAACCCTGCGGGTGAGAGCAGGAAAAGCTAAACATGATGACTAACAACCCAAACAGCTGGAAACTCTATTGATGGACATTTATTGCTTCAGCAAGATGTTCCTCAGACGCAGTCAATTCTGGCTGTACGTTAAACTAGAAGTAGGCATGTACAGAATGCTCTTATTAAATGCTTTACCTTCTTCTAGCTTAGTTGACTGATCTTGTGATTGCTGTGTGAACTACTCTGAGGTCATAAGTCTCTATGTTTTTCTAACCCCCTTTTAGGATAAAGAGGAAAAACTGAATTCCCTCATTTTCAGCACCGCTATTCATAGACCTCTTCATTTTGCTCTCAAAACGCACCAGACTTAATAAGCCTTGTCACAATTTTGTTTTAATTATTGTTAGTTATCGTCAACAATAATACTTTGTTTTCTAGCACATTTTTCCTGTACTATTGGAAATATTTCCAATACCCACGTTGATATGGAAGCTGCAGGTCTGACTGTCCTCAGGTTTCTTTTAGGTATGTCACATTGGGGTAGGATTCCAATTTGGATCAGCTCCAGGCCTCTACTTTCACCGCTGTCTGTTGTGCATTGTTTGCAATTCATCAGCCTTGTTGTACTTTGCAGGAAATGTCCTTTGGCTCTGAATGTTCACTTAGGAAGCAGCAGGAAACTGCTAGCCTAACAAGGTACTGTCGAATGCTAAATAAGACTGATTCAAAGTTTTGATCTCGTAGTGGGGGGCAACACAAGTGAGATAAAAGACAAAAATATAGATATTGATTTATTAAAGAAAATGTCATTTTCACAATTTGATATAATAATTGTCCATCGTGCTTTCCTCTCATTATCGAATCACCATTTGACTTTCTTTAAAAGAATAGTTTGGTATTTTTAGGAGGAGCGCGTATGCACTTTTTGAGCAACAATTAGATGAAAAGGTAAAAAAGGTTGAATTGTATTGTATTTTTAATGTCAGTGTGCAGATTAACAAGACAGAACATGACAATACTGGTAACAATAGTGTCTCGCTCTGATGGGTCAGAAAGGATGACAGATCCTCCAGACATTGTTGTGGAAACTGAATCTTTGACCCTGTTCTACTTGAGAAATAAGGCAAGCCACCGACCTGTGTAGTGGAAATGTGCTGATTTGACACCGGGAGAAGCAGCACCAAATCAGGGACACGTTCAAACCGTGGACTTGAGCTCATCCTCAGCAGACGCCATATTTGCGATGAAGCAGAAGTGAGTCGCCAATAACTTCGTATGTTGTGAAAATGGCGGGCGAGGAAGCCGCAGCAAGGCTATTGAATCAGAACACACAAGTTCCACTAGAAGCTACTATTACGTTGGCCTATCGGTCCAAGTTGATTTAGTGCCGATACCGAGGTAAATCCATGGCTGGCTATTGATCGATCAGTCATACACATATTTATACATGCCATGACATATTTGGGATCTGTGCAAACTGAACATCCCAATAGATTATAGCTGTGAGGGTTTTGGAAAATGTTTGACTGGGATGTAATTGCTCGTCCACCAGCACCCTTTTACTTTTGTACAGTTAACTACATGATAAAGGGTAATGTATTAAAAGGGTAAATGTATGTTGTTATCATCAACAATAATACTTTGTTCTTGTACCAGTTTGATATGAAAGGTGGAATAGGTTATACAACAACAGGGAATGCTAATGCTATTGGACACAAATAGGTGCATTTAACCATAGGGATACAAACTCAGAAGAACAAGAAACAAGGAAGTTACAATTTACTATAGAGAAGTGGCGTTATAAGTACAATTTAAGTGCTACAAAAAACAAAAGGTACACTTGGCTCCTTTAATGTGTTCAGATGAAGAGTTGCTACAAAGAAGTGTTCATGTAGTAGATGTCATGCAAGGTCCAAAGTGAGTGCAGGAAGTGTTAATGTGTTGTTGGCCAGTCCAACTCACAGTTCAGTCAGTGAGACACAGGGACTTACATTACCACGATATTCTGCCTGTGGACAGACCACGACTCGGATCGCGTTGACCAGCTGGGTGCTAATGATGGAAAACTTGTCAAAACCCCAAAACAATTAGCCATCACCAAAATATTTATCAATAACACGCCTTCTCATCAACCACATGCACTCCTAGATGC